GTTCAGCATCTTCCATCCCCACTCCCTTAGAGCAGAAATAAGATCCAAAGTCAATGCTTTCCATGCAGGGCATGGCGTATTTGCATAATAGTACCACAGTGAGACTTCTCACCTACTTGACTGACCTGTGTCTCCTGGACCTTGCCTTGGAGATAATGCAGTAGAGCTGTTCTGAGCTTGGCAGAAACAAAGCAAACCTAGGCTTCTTTTTCTTCCCACCCCCAAATCCTGATCCATGCAGCTCAGCTGGTGTTGGGTGGAGAAGTACCTGCCTACATGTTCCTCAATGTCTCAGGGAAGTTGAGCCAAAGGGATCGGGTTTAGCTTGCCCCTTGGGATGATTTGTGACAAGGCTTCTGCAAACTGCTTCTGCAAACTGGGGGAAAACTTGCAAGGTCGAAGGGATGCAGTGAGATTCCAGGCTGAGTCTCACAAGGGTGTTGGCTCCGCTTCGACAACTCAGTCTTAGACCCCTTCTGATTTGTTTCGGATCTGACTAAGAGCCAAAACTGAAGAGGCAGGGTCAGGGGGGTTGAATCTAACCCCCCATGAACAAAGTGCAAAGGGATTTGTATGAGAGGTGACGGCCCGTGAGCTGTGCCGGAGTTGGCCGTAATAGCTAAGGGCATTTCCCACCTGTTGTCCGTGCAAATGTAAGCTTGTTCCTATAAGCTGCCCATTTCCACTGGAATAGAGGGCGCTTAGTGCCTTATAATAATGACGTGTGTTCAGAACAGTCTGGGCCCCCACAACCCCAGGTGAAACCAATGGGTGCTCAAGACATCTAAAAATCAGGCCAGTGGGTCTCTGCTTCTCTGGATGAACAAAACAGGGCCTTCTTAGCCTGCAATCTTGGTTACACCTCTTGAAAGGCAAATCAATAGCTCAATATGGCATGGGATGAAGGGGCACCAAGTGGGCTGGGATGGGGGAAAGGAAAGCGGTCATCTTCCTGTGCAGGGCATTGGGGAAGCGCAGCACCAGGTCAGCCCCATCCCAGGGGACTGCAAAATACCCCTTCTCCTTGTCCCCACGCACCACCGCCTCATAAGAACCCATGGTGGAAGTAAAGCTCAACTTGTAAACTCGACAGCTACATCTACACCGGGAGATATTGGAGCACGAGAATTAAAATCTGCGTAACGTTTACATAGCTCAGTTATTTTTTGTCGGTTTTGTTTTTTTTGTATCCACGGCCATACGATCACAATATATATTTATATATATACTTTTTAAATTACACAATCAATGTACAAAAAAACGGGTGCATTGCTGAGGCGACAGCGTTGCCTTGACGGTTTTGGGTTGGGGGTTTTTTTGGGGGGGGGGTTGCCTAACGGAAGAAACGGAGCTGGGGGTTGGGGAGGTCTTGTCTACGGCACCTGATATGCAGCACATTTATTTAGTCAGGAAGAACACTCGGTCACTGGGGCCAAATAAGTCATGAACCAAACAGAGGGAGGAGAAGGAGCTGGAGGGATGAGAGGTGGATGATGAGCTGAGAGCAGATGCGGTGATATGGAAAAAATATGAAATGTTCTGGAGCAGAATACGGGGGGCACCTTTCCTTATAACCTGCTTCGGGTATGCAAGGAGGGGATGGAGGGAGGGTGACGAACGATAAGCTACATTACCCAATCTTCCCTGGATCGCATGAAAGGTGAATCTGCGATAGCAAATGTTCTCTGCTGTGATCTTTCCACACATCCAAGACCCCTGCTGTCCAGGGTAGCGACTGGTGGAGGAGCGCTGTAGCCAAATGCAGCAAGAAGGAGGAGAAACCTGGTGGAGGAGCGTGGGCCAACGGGGTGAGCAAAGGACAGGTCTCCGGGTGAGGGCGGTAGCCAGGTGGCAAAGTTGTCTGATTCCACTTCCCTAAAGTGCGAGGGAAGTGGCTAGAAGTCCAGGGCAACTCCAGCTGAGAGGAGGGTTTGAAGGACACGTGGTAGATCCAGGGAGGAAGGGAAGGGGCAGCCAAGAACCCCTAGCGAGTTAATCCACCCTAAGCTATTCCACTCCCCACTGGACGAACACCTGCACAAGTCAGTGGGGGAGCTGAGCTATAAGGTGGGGGAAGATCATTCTTGCCAGGGCCACCGGCACCCAGGAGCAGGCTAATTCTCAGTGGAGTCCTTGTCCTGAATCCCTTCTCAGAGTGGAAAGAGGTTTTCCAAGAGCTGCACCAGGAGTTGTCCAGCGTACCTTTCCCAAGCACCTCCAGCCCTGTATCTCCTTGGCCTGGCGCAGGGGAAGGCAGGGGCTGATCTAATTTCTCTTGCTAAATCCTGACTTCGGAATCTCCCAGCGGTCTCTTTTTTTTGCCTCTGACCTCTGTGAAGCTGCCCTGAGGATCTGGAGGGCGCATATGCAGCAGGATGAAAAGCAGCCCCACCGTCCTCTCTGTCAGAGGTTAAGGCCGGCTGTTGTCAGCTTTGCTTCTGCCACCTCTTGGCTGCTTCTCCCCTGGGACGTTTTTCTGGGTTACTGTGCAATTCTTGCAATGAGGTGTCTCCATCTCAATTGGGAAAGTGGTTCAGCTGCCCTCACGGGGCCTTGCTGGATTGCTCAGTTTATGATATGTCCCATGGCTCTTTAGGGGGAAAAATGCAGAAGGTCCTGCCATTGCCAAGCCCAGAGCCTAACAGCCAGCTTGTTTGCAGGGGTTTTTGCGTGATGGGTCCAAGCCCATCTCTGGGGAAAGAAAAGATACTGAGGGCTTGGGAGGAGCAGTTGCTGCCCTCTGCCTTCCTCATGACTGCTCCCACTGACAACATTGCCCCAGTTCCAAGCTTCTGCCCCAGGCAGCTGGGACCATCCTTTCCCCACTTCTGTTGGGGACTTCTGGAGGAGCAGGGGAAGGTTGTTCTTGGCTGTTATCCTCACTTGGGAAGGTCTCGGGGCCACACATGTCACCGTGATGCTCCAGCGAGGTCAGTGGAATTGCACCAGAAGTCGCCTGTGCCTTCAGTTCTCTCTCCACGTCCCTGGTGCGATGGTGATGAAGGAGCAGTCGCTGCTGGACTGTGGGCAAGCAGCAGGGAAGGCTCTGCGGGGGTATTGGGGAGGGGTAACATGTGATTAAGGTTTGGAGGATGGAAGTCCTGTGCAGGAGGAAGGAGCTAAGCAGCCCTGGTAGCAGCTCTGTGTCCATTCAGGGCTCACAGGCTTCAGGGCCCTGGAGGAGGATTATGAGAAACCCATTCTCACTGGGGAAAGGGCACTGCAGCTGACCTTGCAGCCATCTCTCCCTGGCAGGCCCCAGCTCGCCACCACTACCCTGCTTTTGCATGGGCTGGATTCCCACCAAGGACAGTTCTTGGGGTCCTTTCTGCCTGATCCAGTTGCTGGTTCTCCCCTCAAGCTGCATCCGCAGCCTGCAGGAGCTGAACAAAGGTGGTTCGTCTTTCCTGCATCACCATCCCCCATGGAGGCCCTCACCTGTACGACCAGCTTCGCTTCCTGAACTCCTCATGCCCGAGACTCTTCCAGGCATTGTCTTGGGCCAGGCGGTGACCTGGCACACCCGTACACCCAGCCAGGGTGCTAGGGGCTCACCTCCATGCCACCTGCCTCATCACTTAGATGGATGGGGAGCAGAAGGGGTGGCATGGCATATGCTTGCAGCTCCCAGAGCCAGCCCTACAGAGCTAGTTAAGCCCAAGCATATTCTCCACCTCGTTCCTGTGTGCAGAACGGGGCAGCTACATCCAACCCAGCCTCAGGCTTACAGCTGAGACATCCCTTGGATGGTCCCTGCTGAGATCCTGTCCTGGGTGGGAGGTCTTGACCGAAGTCCCAGGATTCATCCCCGAATCCCGCTGGCTCCTGCTGCTCTCACGAGGCTGTTTCCAATAGAGGCAAACTTCCAAAGCGTGGCATGGAACAAACAGTGCGTTTCAAGCTGCTCCCTACCATCTGGGCCGGTCTCAGCCTTTCCTGAGATACTTCCACAACCCTACGCAGTGCCCTAAAGCATAGCAGCATAAAGACCATCTCCCCCAGTAGCGGGAGGAGAAGTCCAAGTCCACAGTTATGGACTAGTAAGAACAGAGGGATTCCCATTCCTGAGTGGCGAACTTGTATAGCCTTGCTGGGAGCCTGGAGCGAGGGGTCATTGAGAAGTTCCTCCCACACCCTGGGGGATGTCCATGCTGAGTCCTGAGCGGCATGCGAGATGCAGGAGATGGCAGCATGCTGATGCCTGGCTGGAGTGAGAAGATGCCTCCTTAAAGAAGTGGAAAGTCCCATGCACTCTCACAGGGGATGAAGACTCTTCATCTTCACTCGCGGGCAGCTCAGAGTCCTTGATTTCTGCTCCTAGCCTGGCGCGGAGGCCTGGGGAGGGCACCTGGGTGGGAGGTTCGCACCCCAAAGGGAAGGCTGGAGGGGCAGGGGAGGGCTTTTTCCCTTGACCTCCCTGAAGGAAGGAGAAACTGGAGGTGGGATGAATGGGGGAGGAAGGAGGAGACGACTATAAAAGTAGAAATAAATAAAAGAGGGTTAAACTCCATTTCCTCCCATTTTAATTTGGTTATGTTTGAATAGGGTGGATTTGCTTGGTCCCAGGAGTTAAAGCGCCATGCATTTTGGAACAGTTTCAGCCAATCAGGAGGCAGCTCATGATTCCAGTATCCTTAAATCCCAACCAATCAGAAGCTCTGAAAAAAAGCCTTCGTTGCTTGGGCTTTAAGCTCTTGAGGTATTGGCTTTTTGCTCTGAGGAAAAGAAGAAAAAATAACAGACAACGTCGACCTTTTGCTTCACATTATCATAGAAGAAGGAGGAGGAAAAAAACAACCTACTATGCAAAATACTCTTCAAAGACGACTCTTAAAAAAATAAAAGCTTGGTTGGAAAATATGCTTGAATCTCTAAGTGTGCGGAGTGAGTGACTGGACGGCAAGATGGCTGGTTGGCTGGTATAGAGATGGAGACGATGGAGGGTCGGTTTATTTTCTGCCGGCAATGAGGAGCACGCCACACGACTAGATACTCTCCACGTAGTTGGCTGGGTAGAGGCCAAGTTGCCCGTTGTCCAGACGCCCTTTGCACCATCCTTGTTCATCTTCTTCACCTAATTTGGTTAGTTCGTCACCTGGGGTGGGAAGGAGGGAGAGACGGGAGTCACTGCAAGTCTGTCTGGGGCCTTCCTCGGTGCACACAAGCAAGGATTGAAACGGCACGGCTCCCTACTGCTTCAGCTGAAGGAATGCCTCTATTAGCCAGGAGAACTAGTAGGCTTTTATCCGGGAGCTAGAAAGGGGCATGTATGCCA